CCCATTACTACATTCCTTAAACAAGATACTCCAAATCTTTTGTTTATCTCATTGAAAATACTTTCAATCCATCTAATCCAACAGGTAGTATCCTAACCCTCCAGAAACCTACTGTAGATATAGTATCTTCTCTAAACAGCCCGTATAACCCTCCCTACTAACTCTTGCGCAACATAAATCTTTTCTAAGAGACATGTATGTCGTCTGGAGAGCAGGAAAAAGTGTTAGTTTTGGCAGGAAGAATAGTGGGTCATGTGTAAAGTGGAGCCACATGGAATAATAGTGGCAGAGCGAAGCAGCCATCTGTTTACACCAGAAGTCTCCCATTTCGTGGCCAATTTCACCATCCGGTGATGTTCAGTAGCCTGCGCTCACCAAGCATGAGAACAAAGTGATATTTGTTCTCAGTTTAATCTGCAGCACAGAGACTAAGAGGGGAACATCCCTTGTGTCCTGCTAGACCCAACAAACACTAAAGGTCATCTGTCTATCATGTGTTCATGTTGGGATCTACACAGGAGGCCACGCTGGGAACCGTCTTGCTGTCTGGTATGCCATTCACAGAAGGCCATATGTTGCTCACAGTACAGAATCTGCGAGTGAGCCAAAGAGCATGTCTGTGCCTCGGGATGTTCTAAAACATTAGTGACAAAATCAATGATGTCACAGTGAGGGCAGGGGTCTCCAAGCGTCCGTCACATCAACAAAATACTCATCAAGCCTGCTCCAGAACATGTCTCAAACTATGTTTAGTCATCCCTTTTTTCTCTGGCCAGACATTCAATTGAATACAGCATTGGTAACAATATACATTTCCTATGTTCTGTCCTTACAGTGTCTACGGTTTACATTTGTATACTGACAATGAGTCAATTTCTTTTGTGAAATTTGTTTTGAAAAGGGTTTTCTATTGACAAACTTGTAGTCTCTGTCCAGAAGTCTACTTACCACTATACTGTCTTTCAGCGTGTTGTTTTGGAATTCCTCCTCTTATCTATAATGTTTTAGCTGATTCTCACAGCTCTTATAGTGTTGTTTTTGTCTGCAGTTGACAGATCTCGTAAACCCATTGTATGCGTCCCTCCCCAAACCAAACAGTAAGCACAGTTAGAAGCTAGCTTGTAAACACAGTGGAGCATCTCTAGACTGAGACATTAACAACAGGAAGGAGTTGGTTGAGACCAAAAACAGAGCTAAAAACAACCCATGTGAATAATACCATCGCACAGTTCACAGTTTGTTACTGAATACTTGATTAATTCCACAATTCTACAATTCACTTAGCAGACGCTTTTATCCAAAGCGACGTACATCAGGGACTTCAAGGATCTAGAAAAAAGGGAACAATGTCAGTAAGAGCAAACGATCAGCTTTGAGTCCGATTGGACACACAGGTGCTGACAGGCATCGCACAGAGGCAAAGCACAACATTGACGGCAGTTCTTGAGAGCTCTAATCAGTATAGAAACCATCTTATAAGTCATCGTTATCAAACAAAAACAATCTCGACAACTATCATCATCATCAATGATATCGAAACCATCATCATTAAGTTAGTAGGTATTCATGAAAGAGCTGGGTCTTTAGCTTTTTCTTAAAGGTGCAGAGGGCGTTTGGAAGTTCATTCCACCACCGGGGGGCGACAGAGGAGAAGAGTGTAGTTAGAGATTTAGGACTCTGTTGTGAAGGTTGGATCAGACGCCTTTCATTGGCGTAGTGGGCGGGAGGGAGTGTAGACCTGGATGAGAGAGTTAAAGTAAGGAGGAGCCGTTTTTGTCGCTATTTTGTAAGCGAGCAGCAGAGTTTTAAATTTGATGCGAGCCATTTTCAGCACTTCCAATTTTCCTTTTTTTTTTAAGTGGTAAAAATAGACAAACCCTCCAGTGGTACATTAAAACAAAACAATCGCTGTTATTCATTGGAATCAATGAATAGTTATTGTGGAATTTGAGAATTCTTTGTCTTGTATGGTGCTGCTGTTCTGTGGGCCATTATGGCAGAAACAGTACTTCAGTGTTCTCAGAAGCAGAAGTGGGATGGAGCATCATGATACAATATTCTGTCTGTTCAACTTTGATTTGCAGTCCTTCCACTCTCTCTTTGTCTGAAGGGCATCACTTCCTCGTTGTATATTTAGGGCAACAAACACAACCTACTTTCTGTCCTAAAACACAAACAACTATCAACGTCTTTTTTTCAGAGAAGATCAGTGATCATTTGTACTGGTGTCTTTTGTTTTCGAGAGTAGCATGTTGATTTAAAAAGGGAGCATCAAATTTTCCTTTATCTCTCCTAAACGAGAAATCAATGTCAATCACATAATCACAAGCATAATAGCTACATATGAGTTCTAAGATTTATATTTATGTATTTTATACCACTGTGAATGGGGAAGGAGAGATTTCCAGTAAGTAGTCTGTGATATTTTGTACTGGACAACTTTCAGGAGCATGTGATGTAGAGAAGCAAGAAAAACAGGAATCTCCTAAACCCAAAAGCCTGCTGGCTTCAGATGAGATCTGTATGCGCGGGCGGCAAGAAATATGGTATGAATAGTCCAAGCTCTAAACCTTGTCCGGGGTATTCCTTACTCTTCCGGGGATTTTCTACATCTATTAATCATACTAAGCTGAAAAATGTTATGAAAACACACTGTTGGCAGAGATGAGTAGCACAGTTTTTGGAGGATATTCATGGAGGCTCATGACTCTAATGTGATGTGATGTTTTCAATGGATTATTTACAAATCAATAAAAATGTGTGTGTGTGTGTGTGTGTGTGTGTGTGTGTGTGTGTGTGAGAGTGTGTGTGTGTGTGTGTGTGTGTGTGTGTGTGTGTGTGTGTGTGTGTGTTTGTGTGTGTGTGTGTGCGCGCGCTCTGTATACAGCTCTATATCCGCCTGACTCACTCTTAGCCAATGGAATTACCCATTTTACCCACACACACACAAAGGGACATATGCTGGTAGAATAAAACTGAATGAAGCTAGTTACATAATATTTATCTCTTACTATTACCTATGCAAATCCCCTTTATCTGAGTCCCATTCAAAGGTTGTTACAGGGGTGTGAACCATTCTCACAATGAGGAAACAGGTCTTAAGGTGGCTTATGTGTGCCTGAAACGCACATAACTTAAGGTGGCTCATAACCGCAGTGTGTGTAAATAACAGGCAGGCATGAGTCATCAGGCCCGTCTTACGTAACTGCGTCACTTCTCCACCCAACTTGCAGCTAATGCACCACACCCCAGACTCATTCACACACTCGGCTCTGCTGCTGTCCAGCCTCCCATTGATGGCAGGGAGAGCACTACTCATCCGGCTCCATGTGGCAGACTGCGGCTCAGGAGCTTATAAAGAACTTGGCACAAAGGCAGTCTAATCTGTGTGAGGAAAAAAAGTCGACATCTTCTCACATTAAATGATCACTTGGTCTAAATGTAGTATTTTAAGTCAGTGGATAGTGCAGCTGATTTAGTGTGTGATATTTCTCAGACTGCTTAGATTGGTCCGGCAGAGCAGCTGTGCTTTTCTGCTCATTGGGGTTTAAAATCCCATAAGTAACATGGACCATTAGGACTGAATGGAGCTAACAGGACCCTCAGGTAACCAGAGAGTGAAGGAGGGAGGCAGGGAGGCCTGTGGACAATGTAATCAGTCAGGGCACTGACGTCACTCTCTCACACAAATCAAAACCAATACTAATTCGGATAAAGGAAACTTAACAAACTACGATGTGTGCATCTAGAATGTGGAAACATTCTGGAAATGGATGTACATTTCATCTGATTAATCTTATTTGGTCACGACAATCGAACAGTTTTCTGTAAAACACTTTTTTCCAACAACTTAGGAGAAAAATTATGTTAGATATTAGACTTCAAATCATCAAACCCTTATCCTTCTTATTGAATATATGTTAGATTCGTTTTAAAAACTGCTTAAAAAGTGTATTATCTTTGGACAAAGTGTAGCTGTGCCATGAAATCTCTTCATCTTCCAGTTCCTGTAACTAAACCTTACAAACAGATAAGATCGTGCTTTCCTGCTGACATCAAGTGGCCGCAGTGCTTACTGCACGACTCCACTTCTGATACTGCAAACCAATACACCTCGGAGCAGTGCTTTACTCAGACATCATTTCATATCACTTTAGAGAGAGTTAAATTCAAGTCAGTACACTGTTATCCAAAATAACAGACAAAGATAATACATGTTTTATCCTATAATATGCTTTGTTAGTTTGATAGAATCTTTCGGCTCTAATGATCAAATACATGAACTGATTGTGTTCTAAAAAAAAGTAACAATAGTAGTGTTTCTTTTTGGAGTTGAAAAGCATTCTTTGTGGGAACAAAGGCATCTGATTGTCAACTGGTGTTGGTCAATCCAGATCCCCTAACATGGGCACTAACATGATTAGACATAAATAGCTCCTGTCTCGATAGACTGTGTAACCGGATACTTGCACTGCAACTATGTGAATAGTTCACATGCCGCAGACAGGAGCCACTATAGAATTCAAATGACAAAGATGAGTCAAAATTAATAGATAGCACAGTTACACAAAAAAGTGTCCAGTTCTGATTAGACAGCTGTCATATTTCAGGCCTTATATGCTTGTTGTTGTCGTCGTCGTTGTTGTTTTTTACTGTGTAATCAGAAAACAGGGCAGAGATGCCAGCATGTGTAAAACCCAGAAGTCTGCAACGTGATTCACATAGCTAAATATGCGTTGTTTGCTTCAACTAAAACTGATTTAGTCTATGAGTGATCATGCACAAAATATAAAAGTAGATGTGTCTTTAACATCACATACACAAGTAAGGTTTTTATCAATTGTAAAACGACAAAAAAAAAAAAAAAGCTGACCTAAGGACAGAAAAATATGTTTGCAGGTCTATTGAAGATTCTCAAGTATCTGCCCTTAAGGTGAATATGAGACATTTTGCATTTGATTATATTAAATCATAGATAAATAAAGACTTGAACGCAGCACTGACAAATGCCTCCTGTTTATTACGTTCCAAGCAGACTTTTCATGTAGGAATAAAATGTCCCCAGGGACATAAGAGGGGAGCAGAGTCCTGAGAGGATTTTAAACACGCACATGTATGCAGAACGTGTACAGTATGCTGTCTGGTTGCAGTGCATTCCATTAAAAGTATAATCCTATCAAAGCTTTACAGTTTTTAGATTCATGATTTTGTTGTGCTTTGTGCACACACACACACACACACACACACACACACACACACACACACACACACACACACACACACATTTTCTGCACAAACAATGTCAGCCTCTCAGGAGGCTTGTTGGAGTCTCTGGCTCCTCAGAGATAAGATTGAGTCTGAACAAAAACATAAAGTTTCTTAACTCCCGCAGGCAAACTGTTATACTATATGGCCTCTAAAGTATTTTGGATACATTTACACAAAATCAATATACATCAGGCACTAAAAGTAGTTACAAACTGTATTTACAACAATGCAAGAGTTGGTGGAAAAATACAGAAATATTCAGCTACAGTATTTGACTGAATCTTGCAAAGTCGCTCTAATGTTTTTATTCAAGTCTGCTTCTGGTTTTCCACAAAGAAATACAAAAATAACTCTGGATCTTCTTTCATTCAGGATTACTCCACTCCTTTCATGAACTCCAAGAACTCTGCAAAATGAAGGAAGACATATTAGCAGATGAAACTACAGGACGCTTTTACTGAGCACACATCTCCTATATGTATTTTTGATTGACTAAAAAGTCAGATAATGGCTCTAATATGTTTTTCATTGCGTCTCTTCGTTAAGTTAAAAACCCCTCACCATCATAGTCAATTTTGCCGTCATTGTTCTTGTCTCCGTCCTTCATCAGCTCCTCGATGTCGTCCTCAGTTATCGCCTCTCCTGTAGACTCCAGCATTGTTTTCAGCTCCTCCAGGTCGATGTAACCATCTGCATTCCTGCACATCAAACAGGTAAAGGTACATCAATGCACATAACAAACCTAAGTTATGATCCCCAGATGGCAGCGGAGGAGAGGCTGTGTGATTAAGTGTGACATGTAACTGATCATATCCTTTTTTCCCCCTCCTCTCACAGTAATGGTTCTCAAACACTTAAATGCAGAAGTATTGCGAGTTAGTTCTTTGATGCCGGGTACAAGGTGTCTGGCTTACATGGAGTGGGTGTTTGAAATATTCTGAGCTGTCAAAAAGGATTATGTAGCAAACTACACGAAGCACTCTGCAGAGCGACTTGGCATTTTGTCAGTTCGCATAATTGCACACGGGGAGCATGGCTTCCTTGGAACCACACTGCGAATAGCAATGTGATTATGAGTCCGAGGTGATTTCAGACGATAGCATGCTCTTGATGTAGATGTTTTTTTTGGTTGTATCTTTCTTATTACAAGTGTTCATCGGTGAACTGCTGAACTGCTCTCAGCGCATTAACTCTTTTAATCCAAACTAGCAAAAGAGTTTAGACATGAAACTCACTTGTCAAACATGCGAAACAGCTCCGCCAGTTCCTCCTCAGACTTTCCTTTGCTGTCGTCCTTCATGCACCTCACCATCATGACAAGGAACTCGTCAAAGTCCACCGTGCCGCTTCCTGCACACATACAATGCACTTTCACATATCCCTGCACTATATATACAAGATAGATTAATGATCCTTAAAAGAACAAAAGTTAATCAGCTAATAATAAAAATAATGTATCAATAAACACAGGAATAAACCTTTGATTGGAAGTACCTTGATAACTGAAATAAATTTTTTAAATATTTAACATGCCAAAAATATTATTTATGTTTTACAGCCAAATATACAGTTTATCCCTTTACATTTCTTTGTTTGTAGCTATATAGCTTACTATTTGACTTCATGACATTAAAGTTAAAGCTTTATTAGACAAATCTAAGATGCTATTTTCTTATTTCATGATGACATCACAATGGAAAATTAAAAATGACTTGTGCATCCTCTGATACGCCCCCTCTTTAATTCCTCCTGACACATCTTGTGTGTAAGATCCTTGACTATCATTTAACATTACGTTCAGGGACTTTGACCAATGATGGACCTGCCAGCCGCTTGAGGCTGAGATGAAGAGGTCAACAACAATCGACCAATCATTTACTTCCTCGTACTGTAGCGCTTGTAGTGCTTTTATATTTACCGTCCTCGTCCACCTCGTCGATCATCTCTTGCAGCTCCTCGGGTGTGGGGTTCTGGCCCAGCATCCTCATCACCTTCCCCAGCTCCTTGGTGCTGATGCAGCCGTCCTCTGCGTCTTGTACGAAGATGTCGAAGGCGGCCTTGAACTCTGCAACACGACAGTTGCACATGAGAAAACGACTGTATCATTGACAAATGTGACAGGGGGAGTTTCACTTATTCATCAACCTTGCCACATCATGGAATATGTGCAAAAAAATAACAATTTAATGACTTGCATTGCATGCTTGATGCTTTTTTTTTATCAATGTACGTACCATTTTTCTGTTCATCTGTCAGCTGCTCAACCTGCAAAACAAAAAAAACAATAACGTAATAAAGTAAAAAAAATAATCCCAAATTCTAAATTTCAGTTGAACTGTGTCTTTATTATTATTTATTTATTTATCCTTTATTAGTATTAAATTGGGACCTCTGCTTAAAACAACATCTTTTATTCAGAAATATTTCTGCCATTGAAATGGGCTAAGATGTCTTGATTTATAAAGTGTGAAACCAGCCTCTGAAGCAGACTATCACCGTCTGTTTTGACAACTTCTGGGTCAAAGAAATTTAATATATTGGACCCACACGCAGGGCCCATCCTTGAAAAAACACAGAGCCTATATATCACATGCGGGAGCCAGTAAGAGGAGGAGTTAAAAATAAAGGGACAGGAGGATCAGGAACCACAGATAAAGGACACAATACACAATGTTTTAAATTAGCATAGCTGTGGATCGGGGCCCAACAATGGAGCAGTAATCCTGGAAAAGCTAGCACGAATGAGAGAGAGACAGCTGCTTATGTAAGAGTTATCGTCTGTCGTCCACTATAAATTAAACATACACACGCAGGCAGACACACTCATAAACACACAGACGCTAATGTGCTGATGATGTATGAAAAAAAACCCATCCAAACAAACATGTGTAATATACATTCCTGTGTGTTTTTTTTACTGTCTCAGCTGCACTGCTCACAGGGGACGTGAGTGGAGGGGACAGCCGGTTGAGTGTCGGTGTGGAGGTGGACTAACACGGCCACACAGCCCTCGGGCTCACAGATAATGCTGGAATTCAGCCGTGGGGGTTTTATCTAAACCTGAAGCCCCTTCACTGGCACCAGAGAACTGCGGGCCCAGAAGAGTCTGAGAGACTGGCCAAAATTAGCCATGTGGAGTGGGACCGTTCCATTTGAAGTCATGAATGACGAGCAGGGGCCCATCCTGTCAGTGACCTCCTGAGTGGCTCCTCTCAGCTCTGATAGGTATGAAGTGGGAGAGCATCTAAAGACGTATATGGTGTCAAAGATCTTTTGACATCATGTGGTGATGGAGGCGATGAGCTGTGCGGGCCGCATCACCAGGGATTTGTCAAACATTTCAGTAATGTCAAAAGCCACGTAAACAAATTGATCATAGGCATATTTCTACAACAAAAGACTACACAAGTGCCAGAATACTCAATTTAAAGGCCCCTTAAAGAGTAAAATATAAAGTATTGTTTGGGATTATGGTCTGGATCCAAAACAAACATCAATCTCATACCAGATTAAATCCACACAGTTTTTGGCTACCATCCAACAAACTAAAATCACTTCATCATAGGAAGCAGACTCCATACTTTCATGTGTTTGAGTTGTGAGAGGACGTACCGCTGCTTTGTAGATGTCGTTCATGTTGGAGGCTTGTCTGCTGCCGGTCCTGACGGCGTACTGGCACAGAGGAAGGAGTTTCAGTGCAGCTCAGGGCAGGACACCGGCCTTATCCTGGAAGGGTTTTATAGCCCCTAGCCCAGAGCTGTCTGGTCCCTCCCCGGGTGGACCGGCCTCCCCTCTGTTTGTGCCCACAAATGTGTGTCTGTGTATGTGTGTCATTTGGCCAATCTGTCACAATCACCCGGCTCAGATAAAAATGCAGCAGCTCTTAGGGGCATACTTTGGATTGGAATGAGGAGGAGAGGGGGGCACGCATGGTGATGCCTAATCTCCAGGGAGGAGGCAACAGAGACACTCAACATTCCTCTAGGCCTGGTCCAGAGACACAAAGGGGCTCAGGGGCGTTTGTGTGTGTGTGTGTGTGTGTGTGTGTGTGTGTGTGTGTGTGTGTGTGTGTGGGTGTGTGCGTGAACGTGTGTGCTTGTGTGACAGACTCGGGGTGGTATAAAGGTGGTAACAGGGTGAGGACCAGGATGTGGTTGCAGACGACCATCAATAGACCATGTAGGAGGGGGATAAAGGGGGCTGGGTCGGTAGAGGAGGGATCAGAGATACACAGACAGGTATGTGCTTTTTGATTGGTCAAAGCAAATCAAAGACCTCATAAAGTGGCCATAAGGTAAGCAAAACCTAATCTTCTCATGTTGGGATCTGGAAAGAAAGGGACAAAAAAAGCAAAAATTAAAGGATGAGTTCGCATCATTTTTCAGCGATAATTAGGTTTTTGCCTTCCCCTCAATATGATGGAATTAAATCAGATTTTATGTTTGACCTTACAGCATTATATAGACCCTTTTTTTAAATAAAATCAACAAAACCCATCTCTTTATGGAAACAATGGCCCTGATTGGACTATCCATGCATCACAAATAACTCTTTCCTTTGAAGCTTATTACGAATGAATAGAAATGACATATAAAAAAGGAGTATTTTTAAATGATAAATTATCAGTGATGTTTTTTTTTTTTTTTTTTTACCAGAAATTGAATTCAATTTTGGATGGAGGTTAAAAATCAGAGGAACACATATTTAAAACCCTTATAAATGAAGCAATACAAATGACTAATGTGAAACAATATGATGCTTGTACATACACATATTTAACCACACAAAGCACACCTGCATAAAATTACATGCAATTCACAATGATACTGAAATAATACACAGAAGACGTAGACTTTATAGAACCAATCTCAGGTAGTTCCCTGAACTCGAGAGTTTAGTTTTCAGATTCAGTCAGCAGAGGGCGCTGTTCACTATATATCCGTTAAATTGAATTGTTGCGCAAAGCTGCCTCCGGTTAACCAATTTATCAACAGTGGGGTAGGTGAGAAATCTGGGTCAAACAAACCAAACACTTGCAGACATATTCAAATTGAATAGAACACAGTGCAAGACTTTGCAGCATTTTTTTTTTCATGCTCCTTTGAAACAAGGCCATCTCAATCACTTAACTGTGTGAATCACACACGTTCACACACGTGCTCTCACAAAAGCTCCCTCTCCCTCTCTCTCTCTCTCTCACTCTCGCTCTCGTTCTCTCTCACATACACACATGCACACACGCAGAGCATGCTGTGGCAGGCATTCTAAGTGACGAGTGATCATGCTGGTTTATAATGGGATGCTAATGGGGACTGGCACAGCTTACAAGCATCATACAGCCACTCAGAGAGAGAGAGAGAGAGAGAGAGAGAGAGAGAGAGAGAGAGAGAGAGAGAGGAGCTCAAACTGAACATCATACATGTCCTACTCTTACACAGGAACAGACTCACAGGAACAGACTCACAGGAACAGACTCACAGCACCTGACGAAGCCAGATTCACATCAGCACATAAGTCGCACTCAAAGGCGACAGGTGACTGTATCTCGCCATGGAGATAGACAGGCATTGTGAGAGCGGGTGCATAAGGCAAAATTGGATTTTGTGCCAGTTTTCTTTCTGTGTTTTCCCTGTCATTTTTCAAAATTCCCTACTCTAAAGACATCGCTGCTGCAGTGCATTCTGCAGAAATGAATCGTCATCAATGGCAGCGACTCCATCAGCTGAAACCAAAGCATACTGATGAGTCTACATGGTCAGCCAGACAGATTCATTTGGAGCGCTCAGTGCAGTCTGCTGGGTGCCAAGAGTGACGAGCAGCTCTGCAGGGGGCACTAGATTCAAATGTAAAGCTTTCAACAGCATGCACACACATACCCCCCTCCTACACACACACACACACACACACACAACCACATTAACACACATAGTGTAGTACCAAAGACTGGCACACGCATCAAAGAAAGCATATGGAGTGCTGTTTCATTGGAGCCCTCCACCAATTTCCTTTTACAGAGGAAGGCTGACGAAAGAGCCAGCCATTTCCTCCACACAGCGCAATCAGACAGCGCATCTCAAATCCACAATTCACCGCACACCGCTTTTTGAGGGGTTGCCATAGAAACTCTGCTGGGTAGAAGCGGGCAGAAAATGAGAGGAGATGAGCGGGGCTATTTCCCCCTCCACCTCCCTCTCTGCCTCCCTGCCACCACATTTTGTCCTCAGAGTGACTGTATTATTTTCTATTCTTTGCTTCTGCTGCGCATACATGCACATACCAAATTGCATGCATATATGAGCGTCACAGTTAACCATTGCCATTTGGGCTGCAGAACTGATCGTGTCAATTGACTAAGCGGTTCAAGTGATAACATTTAATGTCTCAGGATGAATACTGGAATACATTTATTTCAGTTAGGGTTATGTGAAATGTTTTAAAGTTTCAGAATCATGCACATTTTGCCTAAAATTCCTCTTTAACATAATAACAGTTATCTGACTGACTTTTAGTTTGAAAAGGCTGAATTTCCACCCCTTCTAACAAAATCTCTTCCTGCAGAAAACATTATAGATTCCAAGTGTGCAATATGTCAAAATGCCAGAGGCTTAACATCTCATGCTGTGAGTACTGAATCAGCTGGACTACATTTGTGGAGATCTACTACTATACACAGCATACATCACGTCCATTTAAATTCTAGTGTGATATAATGATTGGGCTGACGTGCAGCTGAGCTTGAAGCATAGGTCCTACGCCCTCTCCTCCTCCCTCCCTCCCTCTGTGTCCTCACCTCCTTGATTGCAGAGGGGAGGAGGGGAGCGGAGCCTGTCAGCCTCTCTTTCTTTCTCTCTATTCTTTCCTCCTGTCCCCTCTCTATCCATCGCTCTTCTGTGCCTCCTTTCATTGATGACCAACCTGTCAGCAACTCCTGTTGTGGCAGGCGGTGAAAGCTCTGCATGTGACTGAGTGATACACACCATGAAAGCATCACTTCCTGTCCACTGAGTGCTTTATTAGAGATCTCTGATCAGTGACAATGTCTAACCCAAATTGAGGGATTTGTCTTTAAAGAAGGCGGAGAGGGGAGTCTTGACTTTGCTTCAGTGCATTCAGTGGATCCTTTCCGAGGCTCTTTGCGTCGAGGCACTCGCTGTAACGCAGCGTTCCTTACATCAGAGCTCTAATGAGGCAATGGCCACATTAGCTCCAGCGACGAAAGAGCCACTCACTAACTTTCTGCCAGCGGGCAGCGTTTTCCAGTCCACTGGACACCAAGTCGCCTACCACCCTTTCTAGCCTGACCCACCTCCCCCCAACCCTTTCAACCTCTATAACAGTGAGACACCCAAAGAAGATTTCCTCTCAGATATATGGCCGATGAAGCTCCCTTCAAGCAAAAGAGAAAATGTGTTTCTTCTTCATGGCAGTGAAATGAGCGGTCAACATTCTGTCTCAAGATGTATTATCAAATAAGAGTGAAGAGATAGATTTGTCAAGTATAATTAGAATATCCACTATAAAGGTTTCATTAATCGGCTCAGTATAATAAACGTCGCGCTATCGACTGCTACTGAATCAACTAGACGTGTCTAGAATGCGTTTTGATACTGTACCACCTGTATGTATTAAACAAAGAGGAAATGATTTACAGTTACTGTTTTTCACCTTTAAAACACTGTACTAGGGCCTGTGTGGAAAGAAAAGCAAATATCAACAGACAAGGGGAAAAAAAGGAATATATAAGATTATTATTCACATTATTTTTTTATTTTTTCCGTCTTCCAAATGTAGATAGTGACAAGAGTTGCCTGTCTGGGTAGAATTTCTCCCTGCGTGCACACACCCATTTTGGATTTGTCAGAGTCTCTGCCTTCTCCTCTTCCCTTCAAATAGCAGCGCTCTGAAATGGAATCTGTGGACCCTCAGGGTTTCTGACAATGTCTGCGACATTTCTAAGTAAAGTGAACAGCGGTATAACTTCTGCATTATTACATTTTCAAAGTCAGCCCTGTTATAGTGTATTGAGAAAAAGCAGGTCACCATTTTCTCTCTCCCAAATGTTTTACCTCACTTTAACAACGACACTTGCCATTCTGAGCTATGTTGATGACATTTAATAAGGTAAAAATGAACATCCTGATTAAAATGAATGAAAAAAAACAAATTTAAATACATGAAAATAATCAGCACGTGGCACATCCACATATAAAGGCTCCTCTGGACAACTGGTTCTTTGTGTAATCAAAATGATGAACTCTGCTCATGTTTTTATCATTAGATGTGCAGGTAACTTAAAAGGTTTTGATGCGCTCCAGGTTTTCTGTTACAAATGTATGAAAGTTTCTTTATCCATGTCACTGCACAGTCTTTGCAAGTATTTGTTTGTTTCTTCCTTTTTTTTCGAGAGAGAACACTACCATGAGGCTGAGTTGTATTTACAGAATCTGCATAAAAATACAGAATCGGTAGGTGCAGGACTGGATCATGGTATTTGAAGTGTTCTGGTTTTTGTTTGTAATACAAGTATCATCATCCAGGAAAACAGTCCGTTTGGAGAGCAAAAGGAACCATAAAGTTAGTTCCCTGATAGTGTTTTAGCTTTAATCATCTTCTTAAACAGATATCTGCACACAAGTGCAGTTAACAAACTGCCCAGATCCATTCTCGCTTCTCGGGTTGCTCGTCTGACTCTAAACAATGGCAACACAGGAAAATAAATTCATATCTCTACCTTTATCCCTAACTGTGAGATACACCTGAAGCCCATAAAAGTGGACCTGTGCTTCCAGATTTTGCTGCAGACAGTAGCCAATGTGTTCTGAGATGCTATTAGACATTTTCAGTGAAATGTCTCTCCAACTAATCAATGATGGATTTTCCTCCAATTCAGTATTGTTGTCCACAATATTTTAAAAGGTTGAATCCTTGTGGCTTTAGTGAACCCCTGACATTTCCTCTGGCACCTCCATCAGGTCATATCTTTCACCTCTACAGTGAAAGTGTATGTATACAAGATACGTTCAAGATGGATCTTTACACACTTGGACACTGACATTCATGACAAAGGTATCCTTATAGCCTATAAGACCTAGACTTTTCATCTTGGCTCACCAGCAGGCAGATATTTGTAATTTTCTTTGCAATGTCTTGACAACCTTTGAATATAGTTGTGGAATTATGACAGATCTTGAATTTTGCATAGATGTCCACAGAATAAAACATTATCCAACATTTGATTTTGACTAAAAAACTGAAAAACTTGACATTATATTTCATCTGTGCTTTACCATGTCTTTATTGCTGATGAGCATCGTCATTGCATCCTCGCTAGCATGGGCCCATCATTTATCGGCTTTGCATTTTCTCACAATACAAACCCACGCTGAAAGGGATAGGTAAGTGTTTAGTTGGCAGTTGACTCTGCAAAGAAAGAAGAGGATATTGATCAGGATAAAAGACATTGAACATAAAGTCCTGGAAACACAGAGACACACATCTCATACTGACTTTAAGCTGAAAGCATCACTATGTCTAAGTGCTGCCTTATGGAGATGCTAGCAGGCTAAGCTAGGTGCTGTATTTCTGTCCTGGTTATTTGCTTTTGGCCCGTAATGATCCGATCTCTCTGAGTTTTGTCCAAGGAAAAAATGTTTTGAAATGGCTCAGTAACTGGGATACTGACCGAGCTTTGAACAGATTGGCAGCATTAAAGCTGCATTGGGCAAGTTTCTATGTCACTATACACCAATGCACTCAGCCAATAAGCCATGAGATGGAAATATTGAATAAGAAATAAGAGGAAGAGGTGTCATCCACCTCACCTTTGGAGACTTGGTCCCCCTTGCTGGAGAAGAAAAATAACTTAAACCTATACTTTTTATACTCCTTGATACATTTTGGGCTACAAGCATGGAAAAACTTGAGGTGTGGCCCTGTTAGCGAGTAGAGACATGTCTGGATTAAGACCTGCTTCAGCAGAAGATTCAAACATCTTTACACAAGGAGTCAATGTGGTGTATAGGGTGACTGACCAAAGCAGAATCTCATGTGTCAAATTTGATGACTTCTAGTATGCTTGGAAAAACGGGTACAGAATAACAGCCCCAGATCAAAACTTTCCAGCGTTGCCCTCTGTGTGATGTAGCTCCAGAAGTACAGTTTTGTTTGTTATACAATTCGTAGAATTGTCTGGGGAATGATGCCCTCTAGAGACTCATTCATAAGACAAATTGGCCTGAAATTCATTGGTCCTGCAGACAGTGTGCCTCCCTTTGTATGTCTCACTCTTTCGCCTGCTTTAATGTGCAAACACACTCACATAAACAGCCACAAACACACATCAACATACACACATGTCCCTTCATGCCCCCGTGTTCCTTCGTGTTATTCAGTGTTGCAGTAGGCTATAAGAGGGAAAAAACACCTTTGCATCTGTCTGTGATGCTGAAGTCCGGCCTGAGGCCTACTAGGCTTCAGTGAAGTGTGCTGTGATTTGACAAGGCCAGTGACAGGAGGCACTGTACATATCTGGATGTCATGTGACGCACATGATGGCCTCAAGGAGCCAACGAAAGGTCAGTGTTTCCTGATGCCATTGCCAACAACTAAATTAAGTGACTTCATCTCTTGCTCATACATCTATCCCATTTTAGGAGATGGATACATTGGAGGTGTTGCATCACTTTGCTCAAACACTGCAATGATGGTTTGCATTTATACCAGAACACATCAAGCATTACACAAACACTCAGACAAACACATTGCGTTTGTTACACAAGTCATCATCCACACCTCTAGATAACAGTACACTTATACAACAAACACACCTTCAGGCTTGCTTTGTGCACTCTCAACCTCTGGGTTTGTCGTCATGCATGTCATTTCTGACAGTAACAGCGATTTAATAACATGTATCCACAGCCTCCCTCATAAAGCAAATTGTGATACTTGTTCTTTATTCCATCACAGTGCAAAGGTTAAATAGCTGCATTTAGCTCAGTCACTAGTTACATACAACAAAGAAAGTACACATGAATCAAAAGGGCAGTTTTTGCTGCAGCTGCAGCTCCGCTGTGAATGTGTGTCTCTGTACTAAAGTGGCTTTGGGGTCTTGTATTTATCTTGCATATTTGAATTTTTTTTTCCACCTCTTAGTACTAATGCATTTGTACTTATGTGCAAAAGCACCAAAATGTTCTGCTCTAATGGAGAACAGAAAAGTATTATGCAAAAGGAGACCAAATTAGAACTGACAATCCTGTTAAAAAAAACAAGTTGCTTTACATGTAAAGAAGCACAGAACAGAATCCTTTGGAAGGACAAGTAAAGTAGGGGACGGGAACAAGTGGGTATTTCAGAGAAAAGAGAAATAGATGTTGACAGATGTTTAAAACCCCCAAAACTCAATAATGCCAGTAGAAGAAAAGTACCTGATGGAATAACTGCCCGTGTGCTACACATCTGGCTGTCAATTTTCCAGTCCACTGCTGGTCTTTGCCCATGAAAAATCTGAGGCTTAATAAATGTAATTGGGTTAACTTTGTTCAGTTTCCTGTGCCATCAGGAGACATTGAAGATCATGGGGAAAGTAAGTGAGATAGAAAGGGTTTAAGGCCAAACCACACAAGCAAGACTGGTAAGTCATTGGTCTGTTCCTGTGGAGGATGAGGGTAATAAATCTAACCAGTCAGAGGGTCCACAGTGACGTTTTAGCCAACTGTTGTTGCTACAACATATATTATAGCTTTCTTTGTGGGTATATTTCCTTCTTTTCATATTGCAGTTAGTTTTTTGTCCATTATAGACTATGGCATAGCCAGTAGGGGTGTTGAAATTAAAAGTTTACATGCTGCATCGCTATGTGGATGTGGAAGATTCTGCATCAATGAAATAACAGCGCGTAATCGAGTGTTGCGTATCAATGTTGCTTGGAGATTTTCCAACCGCGACTGGACCTATTTCATTCATTACTTTGGGTTTACAATTGAAAGACGTTTATGTGGACATTGATTTCTAAGGCACTTTGTAACTCATTTTTATCTGTAATATAGAAAACTGAGGATGCCACACAACTCGTGTAAGTATCGAATGGATCGTTGACAGGATATTCTTTATCATAATCGAATCAAATCGAATTGTGAGACCAGTAAACATGTTCAGCTCTAATATCAAGGCATAAAATATTGTATCATGTTCGATTAAATTTAAAAAATAAAATCTTACAGGGCTTTCACACTTGCAGAAAGCTTCTGAAAAACTCCTGATATTTCCAGAAGGAGCTTTATTTGTGAGCACAAACATTTTTCGCTCGGACTTCACCTGGTGTTTCTCCTGCCAGACTCCTAGTATTTTTCCGCAGCAAGTCTGAGGGGGCTGATGTGAAAACTCAGCAGAATATTCTCCGGAGAATTTACCTCGAGCCAATGAGAAGGGGGAGTGATGTTTATTTACTGTGACTGCTGCATGGTGCATAGAGTGTATGCACGCGACCACTATGATCTCCGTCCATGTCATTAAACTCCTGCACTATGTTTTCTGTTAGCCAGTATGTTGTTCTCCACACTTTTGTTGATAGTGTCATTCTGTTAAACTACACGTAGCATTGATATAAAGGTAAATATTCTCATTGTATAGCATTCTATCGCGAACTCTGTTGCTTCATCTGCTACCTCCATGTCGTTTTTTTTTACGTCATGTCTTACCTCAGGAGACCCCCCCCCGCCCAGTCTCCTGCCTGACTGGGATAGTCCCCCTTGTGAGGAGCATATGTGAAGAGCTAGGTCAGGATAATATCCTAGGCAGTCCTCCTGAAATTATCTAGATATTTTCAGGAGTGCATATGTGAAAACGGCTGTGTATGAAGTTCTACTAAAGCCACTTATTCCATACAAGATAACATGTAAGGCCCTGACTGTTCTACTGCCGGACTTGGGGGATAAAAAGTAATCTTTCCTGTAAGCGCAAAGTTTTTCTTTGTTTTTCTAGTTTTTTAATTTTGGTTAAATTTTACAAATTAAATCATTGCCTGTGCTATCAGTCACCATGATTCTCCATCTTACCCAGAATATTTTCAAAAAATTCAGGGTGATAATGGGGTTACTGAACAGGACCCCGGTCACAGACTCAGAAACCAAAGGGTTCAGACCTGATGCATGAGCGCATGTATGAAGTGACTTGTCATTAACATTTCTTCTTTGAAAGTGAAAGAAACCAAGTGAAAAGTCAAGATATTGAGTTAACTTTATACACCTTTAAATGTTGTTCTTCAAGACTGACACAAAATCAACTCACAATAACTCAAGAAGCCTGATCTTTTTTGTTACATTTTATCCTGCCTTCTCTTTACATTGGCATATTAAAGACATCATTTGAAAACAGTTCATGTCTTTTCCGTCCTTGGCCTCCTAAATTAATGTGTTTGCTCATTCCTAGCTCAATAATTGGAATGTGTGATTTCTGTCCTGCCATCTGACAAATGAAAATATGACATTTAAGCTTCCCTTGGTTTCTCTATCCATGTCATATAAGACATTAATGTGCTTCTCATGGCTTACAAAACTGTTAATGGGCTCTCCCCGTCATACCTTTCTGATCCCTCTAAACCTTCCAATCCATCACGAGTTATCTGCTCTCAGAATTCAGGATTTTTGTCTGTAACCAGAGTTAAAAAGATGTCAAGCGGCTGCTGGGCTTTCTCCTATCATGCCACCTTCCTCCGATATAAGCCTCCTGCTGATTTCAGACATCCCACTCTGTTGAGGCCTTTAAAGGTATCATTTTGAATTAACTTTCATTTGAGTCTCAATTTCATTTCTACTACACTTTCCTTGCTGTGGTAACACGTTCTTTTTCTCAGTGTCATATTCAGCTGCAATATAGTGCAAGCAAATATTCTAAAACTAATCTTCTCTGACCAATCAGTGGACTTTTTACTTGATCTTACAGTGTCAGCACGGCTTTCCTTGAACTTCAACTTAGATTATACAAAACAAGTTCAAGGTACCATGTTCTATCAAAAAAAAATTGGGAACGGAAACAAACAAACAAACAAAAAGAAGAAATCCATCCAATGAAAACAAGGTATTAGTTGCTTGATTATTTTAAGCCATGTGCATGTTACAATCCTACATCTGGCAGGTTGGTCTCAGTCTCACTGACTCTATCAAACCTAATGTTTTTAGTCGATGTTTGACTTAATCTTAAAAAGAATAATAGGAAACAATGTTACATTTTTGTGCCATTTTTGCCTTTAATAGATAGGACTAATGCACTTTTTATTAACATACACGCTTTAAAATTCAGAGATCTAGTAGATCTAAAAACTGCTCAGATAATGTACAAGGCACACAATCATTTGCTTCCGTTATGAACTAAGGGGAATAGGTGTGTATAAAAAAACAAAGGTAAGGACAAACATAAAG